TTTCATTTAGGACCAACTAGGCAACTTTTAATACTGCTGTACCATTGCTAACCATCCAGCAGTCACTGGCCATCCCAATATCGCCAACCATCCAGCCAATACCAGCAGTCCAGCCATTCAATGGGCACCTTTTCGTTTAAATGGTCCAGCCAAATTGTTTACATGGGAATCTTAGTGAATAGATCTGGTTGTCTGAACACAGTCTGCATCTAAGCATTACTATAGAGAGATTCAATGGGAAATATGTCTGTTAAACTGGCCTTTGGTGCAGCTGGCAATGGAGATTGTCAGCATCCAGGCCAACCACATACCATCCAATCCAGCCATTGGATTTACTGATAATGCATATTCAGACTGCACAGCTGTAAACTGTCCAGCCATTCCATCATGGGATTCAGCCAACTGTGATTTAGGGGGACCTCAGTGACAGATCCATCCATCCAACATACTTTCAGTGACATGCCCGTTCTATGATTGAGACCATTCACCAGGCAAACCAGTCAGCATTGCCAGACTTACATACATTTACTGCTTGGCCACAAGGGTGAGCTAGTGAAGTTTTACTGAGGATGGAATTGAGTCTTCGTAGCACCTGGTATGTCTTCTCCAGCACTGCAAATAGACTAAGTTAGGCTTCAACATAACAGCACATGCAGTAGAACACCTTCAAGTCTAACATGGAATGGACTAAAGTTAGCTTTCAAGCTGCCATTGAAGAAATTTTTTTTTTGGGTGCTTGTTATTTCAGAATGCCTCCACCTATATTGCTACTCTAAATAATCAGTAATAGAGGAAGAAATTTACTTGCAGCAATAGGCACCTTCAGAACTGATCTCCAGGCACTTGACAAGAATGTAGAAGCGGTTCATATGTACACTTGTCTAATTTTAGGGCAGAAAAATCATCTCCATTCCCATCAGAGCTGGGTAGGGATATCATTGCATACACCCTGCAACAACCATGTTTGGGAGATGAGGGTTGTTAGGGTCATTTACCAGGGTTCCTCACCATACATGGCCAACACTTGGACAGGTTCAGCCTATCTTGATACAATGTGTCATGTGATATCCATGTCACTCCTACCTTATTGTTCCATTTCTTTCCAGATGACACTGTCTGGGTCACTGTTACTTTGTAGGAAGAATACAGAAGTTCAGAGGCAGACAGCTTAGGAACTACTGCTCCATCTTGTCACTCAACCCACATGGGCATTTGGAACCCCTCAGTCCCCATCTGTGTGAAGGGATACTCAGCAACCTTAAGACATGGATTTCCTTTGTCACATGTGCATCCAGAGTGTTATTATGTTGTGTTTTACAATACAAGAATATGAGTATTTCAGTGTTAATGGGTGCATGACTGATGAAATTTGATAGCCTTATCTGATAATAAGCTATAGGTGTAGTGTGAGGACATGCAAAAACTTCATCCGAGAACAAATCGTGTACCATCCTTGTGTTTTCACAGGAAGCTTTTCGGTGACAGTGCAAGGTAGTAGTCCCTAGTCTTATGTGTGTGTGTGTGTGAGAGAGAGAAAGAGAGAGAGGCTTTTCGGTGACAGTTCAAGGTAGTAGTCCTGAGTTTTACATGTGTGTGTGTGTGTGTGTGTGTGTGTGTGTGAGAGAGAGAGAGAGAGAGAGAGAGAGAGAGAGAGAGAGAGAGAGAGAGAGAGAGAGAGAGAGAGAGAAGCTTTTCGGGGACAGTTCAAGGTAGTAGGTAGTAGTCTGGAGTCTTATGTGTGTGTGTGTGTGAGAGAGAGAAAGAGAGAGAGAGAAGCTTTTTGGGGACAGTTCAAGGTAGTAGTCCCAAGTCTTATGTGTGTGTGTGAGAGAGAGAAAGAGAGAGAGAGAGAGAGAGAGAGAGAGAGAGAGAGAGAGAGAAAAGCTTTTCATGGGACAGTTCAAGGTAGTAGTCTGGAGTCTTATGTGTGTGTCTGTGAGAGAGAAAGGGACAGTTCAAGGTAGTAGTCCCGAGTCTTATATGTGTGTGTGTGAGAGAGAGAGAGAGAGAGAGAGAGAGAGAGAGAATGAGGGTGGTTTGATCCAGGTCATTCAGAGGGCTTTGGGTTTCGTTCATCAACAATCCCCTCTCCCCTCATCATGTAAACAGTTAGATTAAGAGACTGATGCCTTTCTACAGCAGGAGATATGGTCTCTCATGTAAAGAAAGGCAAGGTAGTTTGTGCAATGGCCACAGTTCCTAGCATTTTACTCAAGACTATTTTCTTATTGGAAAGCAAACAGCAGATTGAGGCCCACCATCCATTGGAATTGCCTCATCCAATTCAAGATGAGAGATGGTAAGGTTAATCTACCTCTCTATTAGATGAAATGGTCAGTCTCAATCTGACAGTTGCATACGTTCAAATTCCTATCCACCCTGTCTCTCATAAGATTCTCTTTTTTTCGCTTACCACCACACCATTTATCAATTCCTTTTTTACCTTCGGCTTCAACTTCAGCCCCTTGGCTTTCACTCTCACTCTGGATCACCTCCCAGTTCTGGCCGACGTCATCTTCATTGGTTAGCATCCTACAGAAACACATGGTAAGTTCTATACTACTCCAAGGTGGGAACAATTTTCCTTCTCTTCTTGTCCATGCAAAAACTTCATCCATATGGGTATGGATTCTTAATCAACTAGAATCAGGTGTCCCATTGTGTTCGCATGACCAGAATTGTTGAACTCAATGAGTCCAATACTCCTTGATTTTTTATATGGCAGTGGACATGATTCAGCTTGGTGGTCTCTTTCTGCGGGCCTTGCCAGCACATTGGTATCCTGTTTTTATGTCCTATCAATAAAACAGTCATTGGCATTCCCTAGATTTCCTGCATGATTGGGGCAATCCAGGTCGGTGACCATTGGGATCCCAGTGGAAATAATGGTGGGAATGCCCACCTTTTGCTGACCTTCATTTCATCGATACCTGGGGAAAGGCCTCTACAAATCAACATCTTACAAATGAAGGCTGTCATCAATACCTTGATTTTCCCAAAAGACTGCCTTTGAGATAACAATCCTCATTCATTCCAACAACTTCCTGGTGGTGACCTGTCTCATCAAACAGGGAAGCACCAGATCACTAAACCTGTGTGTTCTGATTTGACATTTTTTTTTACGTAGGTGCAACAATCTCCATATGAACATACAGAACAGAAACATTCCTGCCACATTAGTGTCTTGGTCAAGAATCCATTCAGAAGTGGTTATTTCCTTCACATAGAATAGTCCCTCCATTAATCTTCACTCAGATTTGCCCACTTTGAGGGAATCTGATGATTGACCTCTTAGCGATGAGGTGGAATCAAAAGCTACCCACTTTTATCTCTCCAGTTCGAGACCCAAAAGCCTGGGATTTGGATTCACTGTCCATCATTTGTGAGGGGTAGTGGGCCTTAGTCCACCCTTCCATGGTTCATACACTAAAGATAACCCAGAAGTTATGGGGTCAGAATGGCAAGATGATTCTGATAGATTAACTCTGATGGGACAAGCCTTTGGTCTCCAATCTATTCTTTCTAGTGACAGTACACCCAGTACGATTCCGGCCAACCAGAATCTTCTCCAGCATCTACTGTCACGTGTGGCCTTTCCCTGCCTGGATCACCCTCTTCTTCTGCACACTTGACTCTTACCAGGACCACCTTGCGAGTCAAATCAAACCTTCGATTGTGGAGAGAATTTTGCTACCACCTCATAATATTGGACACATTCTGGCATCATGGCAAACACGTGTTTGGTTGGGATAGAGATCATTGATCTTTTAGACAATATTGGTCTCATCAACAAAATCTCTGTTTGTCTTCAAAGGAATTCAATCCTGGGTTGTAAAAGGCTCAATTTGAATCCCTTCTAACTAATGTTGCTGAAGTCACTATCATACAAGTCATGTTCCTGATAGCTTTAGTTTCTGTATGCTGGGTAAGAGATCTGCATGCCCCTTGATGTCGATGTGAATTCCCTTCAGTTCAGATTGGAGGGTTTGGTGGTTTTCATGACACCATCGGGCTTCATAGCCCAACATAGGTTACCATCTGTAGGTAGTCAAACAGCCATCAATTGCTCACTATCTTCCATAGCTAGATGGAAAACAGCAGCCATGCAAGATCCTTTTCGTGCTCTCAAGCACTAACTTGAAGTGCACAGAGATAAGTCACGGCAAGCACAAATGCTTCTTCCTTCCAGTGTAAGCCAGAATACTGGATATCACCCTTCTAGCCCTTCCTTTAGGATTTCTTCTGACCTGAAGTGGGTCATACACTTAGTGTACTCTGATGTCTCACAATGATCAGAGTTGCTGCACTTAGCTTACTGCTCCAAAGTTTCAAGCAATCCCTGTGAACTAGAACACAGGATATCATGCTTCAAGCCCTTCATGGCTTAAGTGGGTTTTACAATTCATGTTCTCTTAGGTCAGACTAACCTCATGTAGATCACTGCTCAGAAGTTTTGAGCAATCTCCGTGAACCTCATGTTCAAACATAGTGTTCCAGCCCAAGACATAACAGAAGCTGTTGGTTGGCAGGCATATTCAGCCTTCTTGAGCCTCCATTTCAGAGATTTGATGTTGCAGAGGCAACCTAGAATCTGTTGGGTTCAGTGGCAGCAGTATGGACAGCCACCAGATCCAACTGAAGCCGTCAACATTGCTTTGCTGGAGTTGTTGGAAATTTTGTAGGTAAGATTTCAATAATCATCATCTTAACCGTATGTTTGGATCACAGGTCATGTGACCCCAGGTTGAGATGCTTATGTAGTTAGAAGAACAGGTTATCGTTTGCATGGGGAATTCAGCCATTCTTCACTGTTAGGTTACCTGAAATAAGGCTCAGATGCTCAACATCCCCTCCTCCTATTACTTTTTCTCCTAATGTAATGTGATTAGGGAATGTATTTGAAGGAGGTATCAAATATTTAACTTTTTTCTGAGAATACTTAGTCCTAACACTAACATGTTGAATGCCTAGCGAGGCAGCTGTTAGTACTATTTTGATACGTCTTTGGCATGACTCTGCCAGGATTCAAACCTGCAACCTCCCAAATCTGAGACAGATGCTCTAACCACTAGGCCACCAGAGAGGTCACTAAAGGTATGGAAGATGCCTATTGATTTGGGGGTCAAAATCATTGACGATTGAAGAAAAATGAATTTCGCAGAACAACTTTTGTTTTCAACTCCTTGACCAAAGTTTGAGCATGTTCTGCACTTTGAGTAATAAAGAAACCTTTATATTTTGGAGTGTAAAGGAAATAGGTTCAATAAGAAAAAAAATGGTTTTACACAAGTTAAAGTCATGACTGCATTCCTTGACCAATGGTCCTGGTCAGTGACACCTAAAGATCAATAATGCTCAGAGTCAATAACATCCTTCTAGTGCCTACATTATTAATTACATTTCATTACTGGAAGATGCTTTGGTAGCAAAAAAAAGTTCTTTGCAAGGAAAACAAAGTAAACTGAGTGAAGCAAGAAACTAACATCCATCTCCCATTTCTCTAAGGTTATTTGAACATTTAGAAGGTCTAATGTCAATATAAAAACCCATTTTAAAATTCAACAACAGAATCATTCTGGTTATCCTTAAATTAAAATTTGTCCTGTAAATGTTGTGAGCATATTTATAAAAAAGTTATGTTTTCTTATGACTGGGAGTGGGACAATTATATATGACTAACTCTACCAAATGAATGAAATGAATAAAAACAGACCTGCAGGTTGCCCATACAAATAAATTTATGTGCCCTGCTGTTCATGCATCCTTTTGATCCACACAATAGCTCTCTTAGTTATTTTTGAGCTTCAACCCAAAGTTTTTATGAAGCTAGATGATGGCAAGGCCTTGATTGAGTTTGTCTGCCAGAATTCTACATCATTGTTTAGCCAGGCACCTGTCTGACCCATCCACTTTCATCAGAATTCTACATCATTGTTTAGCCAGGCACCTGTCTAACCCATTCACTCTCATCAGAATTCTACATCATTGTTTAGCCAGGCACCTGTCTAACCCATCCACTATCATCAGAATTCTACATCATTGTTTAGCCAGGCACCTGTCTGACCCATCCACTCTCATCAGAATTCTATATGTTATAAAGATGTTATAAGAGATGTATCGCCCGGATGATGTTATATACCCCTTGTCATTATCATGTTCTGTAACAAAAGCATAAAATGCATGTCTTGCTTCAAATGATTAATCAAATATTTATCTATCACTGCCATACAATAATTTAAGCTCTCCTCCATAAGTAATCAAATTTTCAATGGATTAAAGACTGACAAATGGATATGACCAAAACATAAAATGCTCCTACTTACAGCCAGTATATGGATACTGGTTTGAATTATATGATATAATTGGTCCTGGGTGGCTGTTGTGGCGTGTTCCATGGCAAGGTAGTTTACCTACCTTGGCATTACATGACCCTTAAGTACTGATGTGCAATAAAACAGCAAACCATACAAAACCAGAATATTTAATGTGCTGAAATGGTAACAGATAAGTTGAGGCTGATTTTAATTGTCTTTTTATTTCATTCAAACTTTAACAGACATAAATATCACACTGTTGTATGACATATAACCAAATGTCATAGAAATCAGGTATCTTCAGAAGATTAGTGTGACATAAGTATCCAGGAAATGTTTTATTTAAAGATTAAAATTATACAGATTTAGGGTGATATACAGTGCATTTTAAAGTTTAAAGTAGGCATGATCAAATAATTTAATTACAAATGGTGCAATACAACTGGATCTGGAAAAATAACTGACCCTGACTGGGACATCCAATTTGGCCAATACTGGCAACATGCCATTTTTTCCATAGGAAAAACAGGTACTGAATTTCATGATTGTTACTAATGAGGACATATTGAGCATCTTTGAGGCCCATTTTCATTCAAGGACCAACAAAAAATTGGAAAGAATGTGTGAACAAAGTTTCATAGTCATATAATAAATATCAGGTAGAAATGAAAAGTTAACCTGGATAGAGACCAAAGAGATAAAAACAGACAATCACTGGCAAAGATAGTAGGATCAATCAATCAAAATTGTAATTTTAATTTTGCATAAAATGTGTATAGTGTTAAAATTTCTTGTGTTTTATTAAATTTCATAATTTTTAAAAAAATAACACAAAGTTTCAAAACTTTTAACCTTGACATAGTTATTTATATATTTTAAGTGATATATAACTGATAAAACACATGTATAATTACATTCTTGAATATACACCATGACATACTGACATAACACCTGTATAATTACACTCTTGAATATACACCATGACATACTGACATAACACCTGTAAAATTACACTCTTGACTATACACCATGACATACTGACATAACACCTGTATAATTACACTCTTGACTAAACACCATGACATACTAACATAACACCTGTATAATTACACTCTTGACTATACACCATGACATAATGACATAACAGCTGTATAATTACACTCTTGACTATACACCATGACATACTGACATAACAGCTGTATAAATTATCCATGTCAACCTATAATGACAAAACCATTAATAAAAAAATAATTTTTAACTACTGTTATCAATTCTGACATTTTCCAAAAAAAACTTCACTGAAAAGGCCAAAGAGTATAATCAATGTTAGGTGCATTAACTACATATTAGTTTTACAATAAGGACTTGTATATCCATTACATCAGTGTTACAATATCATTTTACATCAGTGTTACAATATGGACTTGTATATCTATTACAGCAATGTTACAATATCATTACATCTGTGTTACAATGTGTGTGTGTATGATTTGGATTTTTAATGTAGCTTTAACAATATTTCAGTCATATCACTACGATGTCTTAGTGTGGCAGTTTACAGTGGTGTCTAGCACTGGGGAATTATGCCACAGACATGTCATGATGTCCCACCCAGTCATATTATCCTGACACCAGGTCCTAACACTAACCACTTAATGCTGATCATCAAGTGAGGCAGCTGTTAGTACCATTTTTGTAAGTCTTTGGCATGACTTGGCCAAGGATTGAAACTAGTTACAATATGAACTTGTATATCCATTATGTCAGTTTTCCATATGGACTTGTATATCCATTACAACACTTTTTAAAATGGACTTGAATATCCAATACATCAGTTTTACAATAAGGACTTTTTGTATATCCATTTACAGTTATATAAAAATATGGACTTGTATATCCATTACAACAGTTTTACAATAATGATTTGTATATCCATTACTATGGTTATATAAAAATACTGATTTGTATATCCATATATTTTACAGTATGGACTTGTATATCCATTAAATCAGTGTTACAATATGGACTTGTATATCAATTACATCAGTTTTCCATATGGACTTGTATATCCATCGAATCAGTTTTATATAAAGGTTTTGTATATCCATTACATCTGTTTTACAATAAGGACTTGTATATCCATTACATCTGTTTTCAATATGGACTTGTATATCCATCACATCAGTTTTACAAAAAAGACTTGTATATCCATTACATCTGTTTTCAATATGGACTTGTATATCCATTACATCAGCTTAACAATAAGTACTTGAATATCCATTACATTAGTTCCTGTTAAGCCTGTCTGGATTAAATATTGTCCCCCATCAATCTTTTTCAGGGCAGAATAAGAATCATTATCTTCCAAATACTTCTTGAGATCAATATTATTCTCTGAAGCTTTTGCTGCTAGGTGTTTGTCTGTAATGGCTCCTGCAGCATCTGTGGGCCCATCCTGACCGTCTGTTCCACAACTTAGAAACTGGACATGATATTTCTCCAAGCTGGGTTCAGAGAAAATGTTTTTCATCTCTAATGCACAAGCAAGCACTATTTCTTGATTTCTACCACCTCTTCCATTTCCCTTAACAGTAACTGTTGTTTCTCCGCCACAGATAATACAGACCCCTTCTCCACTATTGTAGGCCTTGGTAGCTTCAGCATGCACCTTAATCAAATTCTCCTTGCTAATGCCATCCTGAATCAATTGAATCTCTAGCTCTCTTAGTAAACCTGAGCCTTTATTGGGTGGCATGTAGCTGAAGCAGAGTGCTGTGTATTTAGCAAGACGAGCAAACATCACACCGCGAACCTGTGCTTCTCCTTCTAAATCTGTCATCAACACAAGAGACTTGTAACCTAATTTTTCAGCAGTGTGCACGGCTGCCGAGGCCGCTATAGCATTGCTGCCAATAATGACATTCTGTATATGATTCCACAATTTAGTGACATTGCTAAGATGAAAGGAATAAGGCACAGCTTCTTCATCTCTCTTTTTGTCAAGAGCTTTTGTTTCAAGAACACTTAAAATAGATGTTGCCACCTTATCTACGAGTCCAAATCGATTAATTAAGTCCAGACATTGTCGTGGGGAGGACAGTTTTGGTACTGTTGGTCCACTGCCAATTATGTCTAGCTTGTCTCCAATAACATCAGACAATATTAGAGATATAACCTGAAAATAGAAAAGGACAAATCACTGAATAAATAAATGATTGTTCATCCTTAACATCATTTGTATTCCATGCATGGCATTTTGCAACAATGGAATCACTATAAATGATAAAGATTTTATTATTACTGATATCCAACAACCAGTCCCCTACCCCAATGGCTACTTCCCACTGGACATATATTCAGGATTTTTAAAAAAATGTTTATTCATCTTTCTGGAACATCATACCAAATGTGATCTCTCTTAATTAGTGTGGACCTCAGTTTACAAAGCAGAGTCCACGCTCTAGATGAAAATGTGACCTTTGACCACATTACTTCACAAATGGGGATGAATCAAGGATCCAAAACCTTTGTCGACATCTATTAATCTTGTGAATATCATACCAAATAAGATCTCAATCAATGTAGAGGAAGTTAAGATTATAAAGTAGTGTCCATATTGCCAAAGAAATTTGACCTTTGTAACCCATCCATGGAGTTCAGGTTACAATGAAGAGTCCATATTACATCTAAAAATGTGACCTTTGACTCTCACCCCATCCTCCCCTTGAACTGCATCTTGGAGTTGAAACCTTGGATGTCATTTAACCAT